ATTGAGCGAGAAAAGATTTATGTGTGCTGCCCTGCCTTCATGTTTCTCTAAGAAAGCCCTCCCTTTTTTTAGAGGTCTTTTTTTAGTTTTTTAGAGGTCTCAAGATTCCTACCCCGCGTGTTCCTCCTGCTGCGTGATTGCGAGCTGCGTTCCGGATCACTTGTTGGTGGGTCCTTGCGCCCTCGGCCTGGGGTTCCCACCCGCCCCGGTCTCGGCGGCTCTGGACTTCGGATTGAACGGAATTCGGTTCATGACGCCGGGAGGTTTCTGCAGCCTAGGCTGCCATTCATCATTGCTGCCTGTCTTTTGTGGGGCTCAAAGACTTGGGAATCCCCTCAAATTCTTTTCTCAGAAACAAGGACTGAACGACAACCTGCGGATGTTCCTATCCTTGGAGGTATTCTTTGGAAGCATAGGACGGACCTATGCCAGTAGATAATTTCCTCGACAAGCCACGGTTTGGGAGGTGTCTCCCACTTGTGAGGCTTTCAAAGAGGAAGAGTGACCTTGCATGGCTCAACTTTTGTCAACGCCATCCTAGATCTTTTCACGGCTCTCGTCCCCAAGAAATTCATTTTTTCACCCAGTGCACATCTGGATTTCAGGGTCCTTGGACGCCAATCAGCCCCTCCCAGTGTTACCCACTGGGTTGGTTTTTGCTTTACAACGAAGTCGCAGCCATGCTGTATCCTTGGATGGCATGGACCCACAGTGTGTCCCCACGAACTCCCGGGTTCGAGCGCGGCTTCAGAGGTGGAAGTGGAGGCCATCCGCCTCAGCTGAAGCGAGAGGAACGACTGGGTTGGCAAAAAGAGGAACGAGAGAATCTGCTGCCTGCTGTGGAATGACTGGGATGATCCGTGCGATAGGGATGTCCAGAGCGATCGTAGGAGTGTTTGTTTGGAGAAACGTTCCGAAGGGAAACGGATAATGTGGCACAGCGCCCAGTGGTGCTTCAGAACGAATGACATCAGAGATCATCAGATGGATCTGAGCGGTTCATGAAAGCCATTTCCATGGAGAGAAGATTCCAGATTCCAAGATGTAATATGTAATATGTCTCTCCCACCCACGCAAAGGGTGTTAGTGGACACTCCTTTACCCTGCCAGGAATAGACACCCTTTGGTGGCCAGGGGCCCCTGTTTTTGTTGGTGGGGGGGTTCTTACAATTGGTCGACCGCTTTCATCGGTGGCGTCAACGAGTTCGGTCACGAGACTGGTCTTGTCAGTCCGCAGAAGTTTTTGGAGGGGAGAAGGCAGGGATTGGCTCTACAGCCCCAACCACGCAAAGAATGGTTCAAGGATGGGCTTGGGGAGTTTCATTGCCCCAAACAATTAGGCCGCATGCACTGCGCCCAAACGCATTGTACCGAAAGAAAGAGACGCATTGTACCGAAGCTGCGTGCGTGCAACGTGCGTGCGTTCTGTGGCCGATGCAGGTGGTGCCTGACACCTCACACCCTCGCTACTCTTCAGCCGCTTGACGTGTGGCGTGTGACACGGGAGGATTCGGACGCGGCGACCCGACGGTGTGCGACGCCGGGCTTCCCTTGCTAGGGCCAGGGGGTGACATGACCCACATGCGCGTTTGAACATCAGTAGGGAGACCTCGGACCAAGGTGAAGACCGTTCATTGAGTGGCACAAGAAAAAGCTCGGGGCCAAGGTACTTCCAGTAGCACTCTGTGAAGCTTCAGCAAGCCGCGATGGGTCTGCCCAGGCCGGGAAGGCTGCTAGTTTTGATGTGAGCTTGTCTTCTAGCCACACGCATGTACAGCAGTCTTTCCTTTCAATTAACAAAATAGGAAAAAGAGCCTGTTACATATTGTTACATGTATTTCCACGTAGGTTTCATCTCCCATTGCAGCCCAGCTGCACATAGTTGGAGTAGGCGCAGGTCGCGTGAGATGAACAGCCCGTGGTCAGATGGCGGTGTTGTTCGGGGATGAAGTCGTAGCATCCCACGGGATGACCGGTCGAGCTGCGGGGTCAGCAGCGAGCCGAGCCGAGCCTCCCTTGCTGTCTTGGTGGAAGTCTCCGTGGTTTCGTTTGGGGGCTGTTCATGTCACTCGATTCCAGCCAAGGCTCGTCCCCATGAGTCATGTTGGATCCCAGGCGAACGATGAAGAAGGAGAAGCCCTGAGAGGCCCGAAGTTCGTCCGAGCTTCGCGAGGCCGACTTCCCCCGTCCAACCAGGCGGAGAACTCCACGTGTCAAGGCGGACCAGGACGCCGGTGCTTCGTAGCCACCGAGCCGTGGAAGATGGTTCTCCCAGGCGTCACCGGCGCCTCCCCAGTCGTTGACGTTTTATTGTTATTATTGTTTTATTTAATAAATACACCTTTAAAATGGGCATTCAGAGCGTTTGTAGAACTACTAACCAACATCTACAACAACAGCTAGAATTTAGAATGTACCAATTCAGATGCTGGGCAGGGATGTTGAAGGGGTTGCTCTTGGGATGAATTAGGGTCCTCCAAGTTGTGGTCTTTTTGTTGCAACAGATCTTAGCCCTTGCGGTCCTTCCGCAATCTGGTGTCATCTCACGCAACGCCATGTCGATGGATTGACCCACAGCCAGACACCCCAAAAAAGCATTGGTTTGTCTTTCAAAAGCGGGGATTTGAGAACCCCTAACCCCTCCTTTGTTCAGGGTCCGATTGGCAAGCTTCCATTGTTGGTTGCTTTAAAAGAAGGCTCAAGGTGTCTCCCTAATTTGGAGGACGAACAGGAGAGCTTCCGCAAGTGCCTTCGTGACATCTACCTTCGTTTGAGCGCAGGGCGAGTGCAGCGACCCCAATTGCCTTTTCTAAAAGCCTGGCCTGGAGAGTTCAAGCATATACCTGCTGGGTATCAGAGTGTCAAGTGGTTTTGTCTTAGGACACCCAAACAGCCTGGGCCAAGTGAATTTGTGCGGCTCTACCACGTTGAGACGCTTTCAGCTTCGCTTCGCAGCACCATTTGGGTGGAAAAAGGCGGCGGAAGCTTCAGCCGCGCAGCTTCGCAGCCGAACAGCTGACCCTCCAAGCCATACAGGTCAGATCGGAGAACATGGCAAAAGACACTACCTGGACCTGCAGGGAACATCGCAAGCAGCGACCGAAGAACCCGACCGAAGGACCCGAGCCAACAGCCGAAGGACCCGAAGGGACTTGACCAGGAGGCCCAGCGCCTCACATAGCGTGTGCCAGTGACAAAGCACCTGGTGATCTGCTATATATATATAAATCTATATATAAATCATATTAATTTATGGTCTATTTTGTATAGTCAAAATCGCATGAAATCGAATTCCAGGGGAGAGGGCCCTAAACATCTTGGTGCCATGATCTCATGTGCTGGGCTGGTGGGACGCAAGTGTCACAATGTTTCACATGTACTGTAAGACCAATTGCTTTGTGGTGATTACTGAGAAGACTGGACCGAAGTTCAGGGATACAGGATACCCATGTTGGCGCAGCCCAGAGTGGTCCACAGTCCTTGCACTTCAGGTGATTTCAAGGCTGAAAAAAGGGGCGCCCACCGGGGGCGTGTCCTACCGTGCCATGTCACGGGTGGTGCTCTTCGCGCAGGAGCGTCTACTGGCAAGCTGCGGGGGGGACTTGATTGATGAAACAGAACTACAGCACAGAGAGACACAGGTGGCCCGAGAGACATGAAACAATCAAGCCATCTCAAATGCCCCCACCACATTGGCACTTTCTGACCATCTAGACTGATGGCCTTCCGTGTCTAGACGGCCTTACCTCCTTCAAAGCTGCTTCCCAAGAGCTTTGGAACAGCGAACTTTCGCGGTTCCGACACTGGCGATACTGAACATCTCACATGCCCAGGAACCAAATTGCTGTCAACCGAACGCAGAAATCTCACGAATGCTCCAAGTCTTGGCGAATATCTCCACCAAACCTGGGGTCCCATGCCATCCCTGACAGTCAAAACGCAGAAAACCCACCCAGGACTTCGGCTGTGGGAGATCCTCTGCCGCTGGGAGCATTTTGCTTTAAATCCAGTAGGTAGCCACCAAACCCCGGCCGCCTTGTGAAAGTCAGGATGATCATGCAGCATCTGAATGCTTGGTGCCACGCCCTTAGCTGGAAAGGTCTGGTAAATGAAGGGATCCCACAATCTACCTATGCCCTTAGCTGGCTCCGGCTCGGACCTCCCAGTTCAATGGCTGTGGATCACTCGTAATTCACTTGATTTGTCCCATCAAGACCACAGCATACACATACCCTGAGAGTCACGGACCAAAACACTCGCGATCGGTCGAAGCCGCAGCCAGCCATTCGGCGATGGGCTTGCGATCAACACGCAGACGTTTTGAGTCAAAGACTATAAACAGAATGGTCAGAATAGAGTATCTGAAAGGGAACTTCCTTTACTGGAGCAAAGTCTAGTGGAACTCGACTTCCAGGGCATAGCAGGGCATAGCTATCCGGGGCCTGCTTCCTTTTTTCCCGTGGAATTTCCCGTCTTGCAGGCTTTTGCCTAAGATCATTCTCGGGGCTCAGTCAGCAAGTCTAACATAATTTAGAAAAAGACTTTCCGTGAACCGAACCTGAAAGCCGAAACACGTTGCCGAACGACTCTTTTCATTCACGATTCACCTGAGAAAAAGGTTTGAACCTCCCGATTCTCGATCCTTTCCTACTTTAAAAGCATTGCCCAACCTCCGAAGACACATTTTCGCACCAACAGCCCTTGCTGAGGAAGTTTGGAGGAAGAAACTTCTCAGGTTTTGACTCCTCTCCAGGTCTAAACTCCCAAGTTAGACTCTCACAATACCCCAAGGCAACCACCTCCGTTTGCAGGTGGCTGGGGTGAGGGGGGTCCAAAAAAGTCTAAGTCTAAGTACCTTCTGAGGGTGTGGGACAGGAGCCCTGGGAATACATCTCCAAGAGATTCTTTCTGGCCTCCTGACAATCTAAGGTTTTGGGTGGCGTTTCCAGGGATTGAGGGTTCCAAGGGGTACCAGGGTCAAAATCATTGATGGGAGGAGGGTTTTTCTACATCCAGTAGGCACTATCACTATGTCAGATCTGCAGCCCCTTCATTCACCAGCGGCACCTTCATTCGCAAATTGCATATTTCTTCACGCTCTTTCCTGGAATGCGGTTTGTGTGGAGGAGAACCCGGACCCAAGGACTCTACCGGATCCTCACTTCTTATCAAGGGATCCTCTGGGATATGGTGCAGCCAGGTGTCGCCTCTGGGTTTGGGGTGTGGGATCTTTCACCTTCCCAAGGCCTTTGAGCTCAGGCCACCGCGTTCTAGGTGGGGAGGCTAAACAGCGGCCCAACATGAGAAGAGCGGTCAAGGGAGGCTTTGATCGACGTAGAGTTTTGTCAGCTTCTGCAGAGACAGGGTTTGTGTGGTAAAAGGATGTAAAAGGTGCTTCCACAGCAAGTTGTTCAAGTCTTCACAGCTGGGCCCTGCAGTTTCAGATGACCACCATGTTGGGGGGGTACATGAGTATGAATTTGCACAGTGGTTTTGTAGAGTTTATACCGGTCGTTTTGAGTGTTTGAGTGTAATTGGTCAAGGTCTTCGTTCGCAACTCTTTGTCTCTGGGCGTGCTGAAGCCGGGTTGACGATGTGACTGAACTCACCATGCAGGACGGTGTGAAAAAACGAGTCCGACGTCCTTCAACTCAAACAGGCAGGAAAACGCCATCCTCTTCACAACACAACACCACTGGCATTTTCAGGTCACCCTATCACATCCAATGGGGTGTTTCCCGGGAACTCTGAAAGTAGAGGGAGGGATAGGAGTAGGAAGATTTACCGAAGGACGTGGACTTTAAGGTCAACCAGTCATGGAGTAACACAACAAAACATTGACATCGGATTACATCATATTTAAATCGCCCCATTATTACTCAAGCCCATCTCGATCCTCGACGTCGACATTCTCTGAATTCGCCCTCCCCCCAAAAAGGAGCAACACCGACTCGTCTCCTAACCTTCACAGACCACACTGGTCGCACAGAAGACACACCTCTACTCCTTGCATCTCCTCTCTCTTCCTCGCACCTCCTCGCCAGGCGTCGGCCATGGCGCCAAGACCTCCATCTTCGCCAGGCGCCGAGTCGGCACCGCGGCGCCGCACCGCGAACGCGTGGGCCCCCCCAGCATGGTGAAGTCTTCGTACTTCGACGGCGGCACAGTTTGGGTAGGAAGCGAAAACCTGAACCGAACCTTTCGCCCGAACACCTCGCCCACGCCGGTGGCGAGTTAGACGGAAGTGGTGAAGCGGGCCGGACCGCGGCCAGGCGCTGCGTGGACCTGGGCTTCGGCTTGGCGAATGCCTTGGAGCCGGAGGTCGTGACGGGCGCCATGGAGAAGTTCCAGCCGGAGCTAACGGTGGGAACGGAGGGGAGGAGTGGAGTGGTCAGTTGCTATATCATTCTATAGCTGTGGGGTTGGGATGGGTTGGATGGGTTGGGTGGGTTGGGGAGATACTCCACTTCATGTATAGCGGTTGGATTGAGCACTCAAACTGGCCAAGGACTTCAAATATGAAGGGTTGGTTTGGGTCGAAACTTGGAAGTTCTCTGTGAAGGGCATTTACCACCAACCCCGGGTACCCTGCGAAGCAGGGCCCTGGGGCATATCCACACACACATGGATATTCAAGCAGCAATCCTTCGGGCTTGGCATGAACACCGGACCTGTGCAGGTCCGGCGACACGGACTCACTCGTGACCGTCTGAGTACGACCTGCCGGACCGGACCCAACTGGGAGGCGGTCCGGTCGGCTCCCCGCAGGTCTTGGTGCCGGACTTGGAGGAGCTTCCCGAAGCCTTCAGCGCCAGCACTGGAAGATGCTACGTGGTGAAGGTGTGGGTCTGCTGGATGCGTTGATGGATGGATGGGGAAAAAGAGCTGCAAAGCGTCTAAAGAGTCTAAAGACAATCATGAATCAAACGATCAAACAAAATGTTTTTGGAAATGGCATGAAATTGCAGGACTGCTTAGCCACAAGTCATTGGCCCAAGTCCTTTTGCGGACTGTGAGCACTGGATTTTGGGGCTGCTTAAGCTTTGCAGCAAACAGGGCATTGAAGCACCACTCCTTACTGTGTCCCGAAAACACAAAAAGACCGGGAACCCTACAGCATTGATGACACTCTCGCACTATTCAAAGACTTTGCCCAAAAGGTATGCGGTATGCCACATGATTGCTGGCACATGTCAAAACATCCAACGAACAGAAGAAGCTGCTGTTCTGGTCTTTGGGATTTGAATTTCAGAAGAAGCTCCATCTAAGAAGCTGATCCTGGTTTTGGCTCCAAATCATTTGACACGACCGAGCTTTTCCACGTGACGTTCTCCTCGCCACGTCACGTGGCCTCCAGGTGGGCCTCCAGATGCCCGGAGCGCCGTGGCCTGCTCGGAGGCTCAGGTTCCGGCTGAAGCGAGCTGCGAAGAAGAGATGAGCTTGGATCCTGGTGGATGAGCGCGTTTGGCGTCTTTTTTTCCCTCTCAAAACCTCCATGAAGTGATGAAAACACAATGAAACGACCAGGTGAGCAATTCTTAAAAGATCTTAAAAGGGCTATCTTTTTGGTCAAACATTGGACAAAACACACCAGGTGGGGAATATGTCTCATGAGGACAGACAACTTATGTCACGTGGTCAAGTCTTTGAGAAACCTGTTAACTTACTCCCCACCGTTTCCCACATGGCTATGGGTCAAACACTCGGGGACCCCAGTTGGCGAACATGAGCACAAAATAGACAGCCTAGGAAGGAGGTCCAGCGTTTGCAGGGTGAGTTCCGGGCAACCCGGGTTTTGACTGACCCACAGCCACGTATGGCCACCCTCTTAAAAATGTAATTGAGGGGTGGGGTGGGGTATGTAATTACAATTTTCAATTACATTTATTTTTTTCCGCAGCTGTAGTCCGTCCATGTTTTTCGCAGCCATTTGGTTGAATCATTGGGCCACGGGCGATGGAAGCTTATGTCTGGACCTTAGACATGACGTTCTTTTTTTTAAATCGGAGGAGCGGATAGGAGCGGATTTATGGGACAGGACGATTCAATGATATTCAATGCACCTGCAGCTGGGGCTCAATGGAACATATATGTCATTATATGTCTATGCTCTTGACATGAGGTTCATACCCAGTCACACGCCGTTGGAGTTGTACGGACAATTGGGTACACGGTATACCTTGAACAATTGAGGTGAGGTCAGAATCCCGTTCACAAGGCCATCACACACATGTTCACCCAGGAATCCCTGTAAGCCTTGGATTTGAGCCCTACTTTACATATGCTTCACACAGACCGGCTGGGAAGCTGCCTTAAGACCTGGACGACTTGGCTTCCGCTCAAAGCACCAGCCCCTCACTATCACTATCCCTCACTATGACTATCCCTCAAAAATTAATTACTTTGGTCCGTCCCCTCAATAGCACTATCCCTGACTTTGGTCCGTCCCTCGCTTTGCCCATGTCGTGCCTGCGGTGTGGGCGGTGGTGCAGGGCAAGGGACTTCTGGTGCCGCCACGTTCGTGAGCACTGCTTCCATGACGGGTGCCTCGCGACGGTCCTTCGCTCCTCAGCATACTTCTGTCCTTATTTGCTTTATTTCTTACATGTGGGTGCTGTGTGATATTGTATGGTTGAGTTTTGGTGTCATTGCATATGGACCCACAAGAGGATTAGAGGATTCCCACTTGCTTCATGTTATTTCATGTTGGTTCTTGATAGTTCATGATGGTTCTTGTGCTGAGGAGCAGGCAACCAGTTGTGGGACCATATCAGGGAGCAGCATGATGAAGATGTTCTGGTGTCATGGAATGGGTCCCTTGGTCTGAGATGGTCTGAGAGTGATGATGATGACATTAAATGATTCGTAGTTTCAAGAATACAAACAATTACAAGCAAATTTAATGCCATAGTGAAATAATAAACAATATCAAAAATATACATGCAAACGGGGTTTCTTTGAAGTTTTTTATTGTATTCACATGACTTCACAGGTATTCATGGTAGTTTGGTCAATCTTGGTTATGGTTTGTCTAGAACGGTCTAAAAATGTGTATGAGTGATTGAAACCTAATTTGCTGTTGCTTCTTGATGTCGTGACACCTTGCCAGGTGTCCAGTTTGCGCCTTGTCGTCTCCGGAGGCGGCCGGCCAGTCTTGCAGAATCTGGCCGAGGAAGGTGCTGGTCGTTGCATTTGGGTTCAACAGGCAGTATGGCCCCGAGAAGGTGACTCGCCCAGCATTGGAAAGCTTGTCATGGTTGTCGATGTAATGTGATGCCATCAGACTAAGAACATCAGAGACCCCCAAGAAATCCCAAGAACATCCAAGAATGGTAAGGGAGATTAGCAGAGTGTTGTGCGAGTCTTGTGCTGCCATCTGGCCAGTTCCTTGACCCGTCCTACCTGCCGGATACTATGGGCGTGCGGTGCCTTCGGTCAGTCATCACCCACAATTTGAACCTTGGTTACTATTATTTACTATCGAGTTGATGTGATTTGATTTTTCATGTTTGTTTTATTTTGTAGCATTTCGTAGCTGCTGTATGATGTTGTATGCAGTGGCCTTTCATTTTTCTTGCATTGTTTGATATTGTATGATATTGTTTCATTTTGTTGTGGAAGTTTTAGGAGTGCTTCACATGGTCCTTGCTCCAGACTGCTTTCCCCTGCTATGCTCATCTATGCTCTGAGGATGGCGTTGCTCCCGAACCCCGGCACGAGGGGAAGATACGGGCCTGGGTTGGCGGACGCAGGAGCATGTGTGGGGTCATGCCATGACCCAGCCGGTCCTGCTCACGATCCTGCTCCAGCCAGCAGCCTGCGTGATGCCCCTTGGAAAGTTTGGCAACCCTTTCAGTTTTTGATTTTTTGTCGTGTAGCCCTTCCAGGCCATTCCAGGATATTCCGGGCCCTTCCTAGCCTTGTTAATTTATGTTAAATTTCCATATTCCATCATGTTCCTTCATCATTCAGGATCGGATGCTCCGCGGGATTTCACCGGTCAGTCACGCTTGCGGTAGCATTGGCGGGGCTCTTGATCATGTCAGGCCGGCAGGCTGAATGTCTCCTGCCGACATTGTATGGCTGGCCCGTCCAAGACGTTGGTGCTTTGATTGCTTATGGTACCTTATGGTGACATACCACGCCGATCCATGATGTACATGTTATATCATTTTATAGCAATGTATATCAGCTTATTGAGGTTTCTGCACACTGGGGCCAGTATCTGGAGAACGGGGAGCTTCCAGAAGGGCACTGCCGCCTGCAGGCAGCTCAACCTGCACAAAGCAGTTTCTATGTGTTAATATTTTTGCATAAAACATAGTGAAGCAGCATGCAACAGGACACAGCAAGTGATTTGGCATTGATTGGCCCGGCTTCATCATGTTTCATCAGTGGCCAAAGATTCCATGGCCTCTGAGGAGATGCAGGATGCTGCGGACATCATGATCGCCGCTCTTCCAGTTCTGGAGCCACCCAGGCCGCAGGACAACCCGATTCGGGTTGTGGACCGTCCGAGAGCCACAAATCGGACGGCGGACAATGCGGACAGTCTGGAGGAGCAGGAGTTCGAGCCGGATACTGGGTCAGTCCTTTGGAGGAAGGTTACCATGACAATCCATGACATACCATGGCAACATATGAGCAATTATGAACACATGCAGAATCATGTAATAACATGTAGCAAATTGTAACATGTTGTAACAACAACATACAACAGCCACCATCATCTATCATCAACATTCAACATCATTCAACTATCGCTCTGAAGCTTTTTGATGTCTTTTCATGCCGGATCATGCCGGCAAAATCCGGCAGGGCGGAGTTAAATTTTGATGAATTTTGATATGTCTTGCAATGAATCCATCTTCTTTTCTTGGCTGCCTTTACATGCCTTTACTATCCTTTACTTGCAGTTTGCCTCTTCAGGTCTTGGCGGACCGTCTGGTACTTCGGTGGCTTGACTCCTTATGGCTGCTGGACACCCCGTACCTGGACCGCCTCCGCGAGTTGGACTGGCTCCGACAGACCCGCATCCTGTGATCTAGCTTTGCTTCAACATGCTTTGGTTACTTTTGATTTGTGGAATTTGGGTCCCGTGGTTGTGTGGATAAGGTTAAATTGTGTGAATATGTGTGTATACATAGGCAGGCGCACGCAGAACAGGTTAACGTAGATATATAGATAGTGGTCAGGAAATATCACGAAATGTCGTGTTGCAGGAAGGTATTTTGGTACATATTTGGTGGGGTATGGTATGAGCAGGGTGTATGCATAATTATGACATATACATATATATATATTGTTGTTTTATTTAAATATTTTTGCCTAGATATGGACTGTTTGTTTCATTTTATACATGTTCTGATTTATGTTGGCGTCATTTGTGTCTCAGGTCACCAGGATTTAAAGCCTTTTATACATGACCCACTGCATCCCCTGAGTAGTTAGTGATGTGCACGATTGCTTAAACTATGATGCATTATATTCTTTTTATTGGGAGATGTTGGGAGATGTTCATACACTCTCATCACCAAGGCATGGAGCCGTCTTGTATCCTCTTAAAAACCTTTTCACAACTTTTATCAATGCCCCACTGCTTTGCCCTCCTGAACCCACACTGATGCACATGCTTGCGAACATGTAGCACCATTGATCACAATCAGAATGGCCGACCACGTTCCCAACATTTCCCAACAAATCCCGACATACCCCGCATTACCCGCAATATACCACACATTACAACACCACGCAGTACATCCACAATTTCAACAGAGGAGAGAGGGCATCAGGGTGGACCATGTATAAAAAAAAGTGGGCTGCTTGTGAAAGTTGTGCGCAAATGTTCAGCGCACTGAATGCAACAACAAGAAGCTGCCTCACAGCTCCTTGTCTCTGCTTTGAAGCCATTTGATGCATTGTGGTCATTTGTGGTCAAGCACACTGTTTGTGCAGAAGTTCAGTAAATGGCAACACGTTTTCACTGAGGATGAAGCTGCATACGCGGTTCTCTGCGGCCAGTCCGGGGATGACCCAGAATCCTTGGCAGCGATGGAGGAGGCAGCAGGGCTTCCTGCAGTCGGCGATCAGGAACGACTTGGATGAGTTCTCGGGTCGCCAACGCGAGTGATAGGCCATGATAGGCCAGTCACGGCGTGCCAACGCATGTCATAGTTTGGGCAGTCAAGGTTGGCCAGTCTTGTGCATCGATGTGCACCGCTGCTGTCCGTATCTGTCCGTTGTGATGCCATAGCATGCCCATCCAACGCATGCCAAAATTTGTTCAGTCACGGACGGCCAGTCTTGTGCATCATTGTGCATCAATGGGCACCGCCGCTGTCCGTTGCGACGCCATACCGCGCCCACCCATTGGAAAAGGTGTGAGAATGC